AAGGGAGGCGGGCAGGCGGGGGGGGGAGGCACCCCAGCTGTACACACGCTTCTGTCACCCCGTCATGCTGGCGGGAGTGCCAGGGACTCAGCCCCACCTGCCGTAGGAGTGAGGGGCACGGACTGACCCAGGACACAGAGTGAGGGGTGCTTGGTGCGGGAGGGGCAGATGGGACACTGCACCCAGCCTTGTGTCCTTATCTGGGTCCGACATCCCCCGAGACTCTGAGGGGCCCTCTTCCTGGAAGCCCTCCCAGACTGTTTCTTCTGGGCTCCCTCAGCCCAACCTGGAGTCCTGTGCTGGACTCATTGTCGGGCAGTCTCAGGCCTGTTCACCCCTGAATTGGGGCTCCCAGCAAAGCACCCACGCGCAGGTGGGCCCTTCATGAGTGGTTTGTTGAAGGAGTGGAGTCCAGCCAGCTATGGAGGGCCTGTGTCGGCAGGGGCTGCTGGGGAGAGGGTGGGGAGGGGAGGGGGCTGGCCCTGGCGGTCAGAGGGGCTCAAACACCACCCTGGAGGAGTCCGGGCTCTGTCTAGACCCAGCCCACCTGCTCCAGACCTCCAGGCCTGTACCCTAGGACCAGGTTACCCTGTGATGCGTGGGAGGCCACAGCCAGGGGCTGTAAGGGCAGGGCTGAGTCGCTGTCTGCAGAGGGAGCCATGGAAGGGTCTGGAGCAGGGCAGGGCTGGCCAGGTCACCAGTGGAGTAGATCAGAGGCCAGGGAGGACACGGGCTGGGGCAGATAGGACAGCCATTGGAAGAGCACGTCTGGGGCCAGCTGGTGGTGTGAGGTTAAGACGGTTGGGTCCCACATGGCTGACTGTGTGGTTCAAGTCCCGGACCTGATAGCTTGAAAAACCTGCTGGGTGTGTGTGGATGCGTGCCCATCACGCTGAGAGGAGAATGGAGGAGAAGGGATTTCAGTGTGGCCATGCCTCTCGGGGGTGATTGTTCACGTTCTCTCTCTCTCCCTTGACCTCCTGACCCCCAATGCAAGTGCACGTGCCAATAGCAAATATATATA